AAGCCAGCCACTGTTTCCACTGTTTCCCCATCTATTTGCCATGAAATGATGGGAACGGATGCCATGATCTTAGTTTTCTGAATGTTGAGCTTTAAGCCAAATTTTTCACTCTTCTCTTTCACTTTCAAGAGGCTATTTAGTTCTTCACTTTCTGCCATAAGGGTGGTGTCATCTTCATATCTGAGGTTATTGATATTTCTCCCGGCAATCTTGATTCCAGCTTGTACTTCATCTAGTCCAGCATTTCTCATGATGTACTCTGCATATAAGTTAAATAAGCAGGGTGACAATATAAATCCTTGTAGCTTATGTATTTTATATAGAGTAGTTTGTATCCATCAGGCCATTTTAATGGATTGCTTAGTAGAGGGAGAATAGACGATGTCAGAAACCAAGTACCAAAATTAGCCTTAGAAAGACTACCTTATTTTTTTAATTTTTTTACATCTTCATGACTTTTTAATTTTATAACTGGAAGTTTGTATCTTTCACCACCTTCACCCATTTTGCCCACCTCCACCCCTCACCACTGGCAATCAACAGTCTGTTCTCTGTATCTATTAGCTTGGTTGTTTTATTTTTTAGAATTTAAGTATATGTGAGATCATATATTTCTCTTTCTATGTCTTATTTATTTTACTTAGCATAATGCCCTCAAGGTCCAACCATGTTGTTACAAATGGCAAGATTTCATTTTTTTTTTTTATGACAGAATAGTATTATGTCACATTTTCTTTACCTATTCCTCCTTTAATGGACACTTAGATTGTTTCCATGTCTTGGCTATTGTAAATGATCCTGCAGTGAATGTGAGGGTGTATGTATCTTTCAAGTTCATATTTTTGTTTTATCTGGATAAATTCCCAGAAGTAGAATTGCTGAATCAAATGGCAATTCTATTTTTGTTTTTGTTTTTTTTGCTTTTTTTTTCATATAGCTTTTTTTTTATTTCCACTTGAAATACTTTGTGCTTCCAATTGATTGCCTTTTTAAAACATTTAGTTTTTTAATCAAAAGATAATTTATTTACAGAATTTTGTTGTTTTCTGTCAAACCGCAACATGAATCAGCCATAGGTATACAAATATCCCATCCTTTTTGAACCTCCCTCCCACATCCCTCCCCATCACACCCCACTAGGTTGATACAGAGCCCTTGTTTGAGTTTCTTGAGCCATATAGCAAATTCCTCTTGGCTGTCTATTTTACATATGGTAATGTAAGTTTCCATGTTACTCTTTCCATACATCTCAACCTCTCTTCCCCTCATCCCATGTCCATAAGTCTATTGTCTATGTCTGTTTCTTCTTCTTCTTCTTTTTTTTTTTTTTGTAAAGTTGCTCAGTCATTTCTGACTCTTTGTGACCCCATTGACTCTAGCCTACCAACCTCCTCTATCCATGGGATTTTCCAGGCAAGAATACTGGAGTGGGATGTTATTTCCTTCTCCAGGAGATCTTCCCAACCCAAGGGTTGAACCCAGGTCTCCTGCATTATAGGCAAATGCTATACCATCTGAGCCACCAGGAAAGTCTTGCTGTCCTCTAAATAAGTTCTTCAGTACCATTTTTCTATATTCCGTATACTTGCATTAGAATATAACATTTATCTTTCTCTTTCTGACTCATTTCACTCTGTATAATAGGTTCTAGGTTCATCCATCTCATCAGAACTGACTCAAATGCATTCTTTTATATGACTGAGTAATATTCCATTGTGTATATGTACCACAACTTCTTTATCTATTCATCTGTTGATGGACATATAGATTGCTTCCATGTTCTTAGCTATTGTAAGTAGTGCTGCAATGAACAATGGGATGCAAGTATCTTTTTCAACCCTGGTTTCCTCAGGGTATATGCCTCGGAGTGGGAATGCTGGGTCATATGGTGGTTTTTTTTCTAGTTCTTTAAGGAATCTCCATATTGTTTTCCAAAGTGGATGTATCAATGTACATTCCCACCAACCGTGCAAGAGCATTCCCTTTTCTCCACACCCTCTCCAGCGTTTATTGTTTGTAGACTTTTTGATGATGGCCATTCTGACCAGTGTGAGGTGACATCTCATTGTGATTTTGATTTGCAGGAGATCAGTCCTAAGTATTCATTGGAAGGACTGATGCTGAAGCTGAAACTCCAGTACTTTGGCCACCTTATGAGAAGATCTGACTTATTGGAAAAGACTCTGATGCTGGGAGGGACTGGGGGCAGGAGAAGTGGATGACAGAGGATGAGATGGCTGGATGGCATCACCAACCCGATGGGCATGGGTTTGGGTGGGCTCCAGGATTTGGTGATGGACAGGGAGGCCTGGCGTGCTGCGATTCATGGGGTAGCAAAGAGTCGGACACGACTGAGCAACTGAACTGAGCTAATGATGAGTGATGTTGAGCATCTTTTCATGTGTTTGTTAGGCATCTGTATATCTTCTTTGGGGAAATGTCTGTTTAGGTCTTTTTCCCACTTTTGATTGGATTGTTTGTTTTTCTGGCATTGAGTTGTATGAGCTGCTTGTATATTTTGGAAATTAATCCTTTGTCAGTTGTTTCATTTGCTATTATTTTCTCCTCTAAAGTTTTCTTCTCACTTTGCTTATAGTTTCCTTTGCTGTGCAAAAGATTTTAAGTTTAATCAGGTCCCACTTGTTTACTTTTCTTTATTTCCATTACTCTAGGAGGTGGGTCACAGTGGATCTTGCTTTGATTTATGTCATCGAGTGTTCTGCCTATGTTTTCCACTAAAAGTTTTATAGTTTCTGGTCTTACATTTAGGTCTTTAATCAATTCTTAATTTATCTTTGTGTGTGGTGTTAGGTTGGAGAAGGCAGTGGCAGCCCACTCCAGTGCTCTTGCCTGTAGAATCCCATGGACAGAGGAGCCTGGTAGGCTGCAGTCCCTGTGGTTGCAAAGAGTCAGACATGACTGAGCGACTTCATGCTCCCTTTTCACTTTCCTGCATTGAAAAAGGAAATGGAAACCCACTCCAGCGTTCTTGCCTAGAGAATCCCAGGGACGGGGGAGCCTGGTGGGCTGCCGTCTATGGGGCCCCACAGAGTCGGACACGACTGAAGTGGATTAGCAGCAGCAGCAGCAAAATGTACTTACATATAGTTTATATAGAACATTTCTGTTTATATACGTAATGAAATTGTGATGTTTTCTTTTTCAATAGCTTGGATTGGTTTAATTTAAGCTGAAATTATTTAGAATATTTTAAAAGTTCCTGAGAATTTTTTTTTAATGATTTCATTCTCTTTTATTTTACAGCCAGAAATTCATTCACTTTCCCAAGAAATTTTAGAGGCCTTGCTGTATTCAAATTTGTAATTCCTTTTTTCATATTTTATCAAGAATTTTTAAAATCTTTTTGAATTTTTGTACCTTTTGTTGTAAAATCAGATGCAGCATGCATTTATATCTATTTTAATCTCTTAACTGTTTTTATTTATATCTTGTTTCTAACTCTTAATCTTCAATATGTTGCTTTCTGTTTTTTCCTCCCCATATTTGGGTGTGTATGATTCTTTTCCTGAGTATCATAAAGAATCAGTCTATGAAATATTTAACATAAATTTTACTGATAATTGTTTTTGCTTTTTTATCTTAAACTTTCATTGTTCTATTTTGTTTCATCTTGTATTATAGCTCTCCTAATTAAGTGGCATATCAGTCCCTTTATTCTTAATCTACTTAAAAATATTTTAATATCAAGAAAGTGTAAACACATGAATTACTCTCAACTTCAACTTTATACATGCAAATATGCAATATATGTAGAAATTTTATAATTATACATTCTTTAGATATGGATTGTTGTCATGCTATTGTTTGCCAGGTATGCTGTAATTTCACTCTCAAAATTTTAATCTATTGTTAATTGACATTTGACTTATTTTAAAAGATATATTTTAAGTTTAAAGAATCAGAATTATACATCTGATCTGTGGGCTTTAAAAACTCTACTTGTTTGCTGTTATAATGAGAGTTTAAATTACATTAGAGAATTTATTTTTCTCGTTTTATTTATTTTTTATCTGATAGGTAAAAATGCTCAAACTTATCCAAATTTGTGGTTGGATACATTATGTTTTAATTCTCCATTCCATTGAATGTGCATTAATAGGGTTATGCTCATGTTATTACACGATTTCTAACTTTTTTTCATCATGTGACTGTTGATATTGCATATTACATATCTTTGTGGTATTTAAATTTATTCTGCTTGGGTATATTTTTAAATATGTTTGTTTACTCATCTTCACCCTATGCAGCACTTAGTGTAGGATCATAGACATATGCTATTCTATTTTCAATATCTTTTTGTTATAAGATAATCTAAACATGAAAATAATAATTATTAAACTATTGATAATTTTCCAGGTATGGGTGAAATAGAAAAAATGAGCAGAGAAACTCCTTTATTAAGAGCCATCTCTTTTTTGGATGAAGGTTTGATATAGATGAAGATGCAACTGCCATAAGTGATGGAAACTACAGCTATGTGGGAAGAAAGGGTTGAAAAGGCTTTTTCCCTTTGCTGAGAAGAAGAGAATCTTAGAATTGTCATGGTGATATACATGTAGGACAGAACAACACACACAAGAGTCATGATGAACGTCAAGACAGCACACACCAGAATCATTCTCTCTATGAACCATGTGTCTGAGCATGATATCTTTAGGAGGGGAGTGGCATCACAGAAGAAATGATCAATGACATTAGAGTCACAGAATTCCAGATTGAGGCCCAGGCTAAGTGGGGGAATGATGATTAACAAACCAGCCATCCAGCAGCTGATGATAAGCCTGTGGCAGACTCTGGTATTCATGATGGTCACATAATGCAGAGGTTTGCAAATGGCCACATAGCGGTCAAAGGACATAGTGGCTAGAAGAAAAAATTCTGTTATCCCAAAAAGGTAAGTGAAAAATACTTGAACAGCACAAGAGTGGAGGTAATGACCTTGTCACCAGTTGCTATGTTGTACAGAAATCTGGGAATACAGGCAGTTGTGAATGAGATTTCCAAGAAAGAGAAATTTTGGAGAAATAAGTACATGGCTGTCCTGAGATGGCCATCTGTGAGGGTGAGGGAGATAATGGTCAGGTTCCCAGCTACACTCAACATGTAGGTGAAAAAAAGAAAGATGAAAGCTAGAACTTTCATTCGTGGGTCATCAGTCAGTCCCAGCAGGATGAATGTTGTTATTGTGTGGTTTCTCATCAAGGATTTCTGCTTTTTCCCAGTCATCAGGAAAAATGCAGAGATACTTGAAAAGAGTGTAATGAAGTCTAAATAAGTGCTCAACACTGGCTGTAAATGAAAGGCAAATTGATTTGACTCTCTTCAAGTGAATATCTTGTCCATGAGTAGTATTTTATTGTATATATAAATAGTTACTGTATTTTCATTCTTACTTCATCTTTCAATCAGATAATTTTATCTTTGTTCCTAATACTTTTGGCTTAGTCTGTCTATTCATGAGTTGTGGAAACTAGTAGTCAAATACTTTATAATACTTAGATAATTTTCCTAAGGTTATTCCTCAGCTTTTGTCTATTACAAAGATACCAACTTCAACTGTTTTCAGCCTTCATTCAGTGCCTCCAGGGCTTGGATTTCTCTATGTTAACAAACTATTAGGAAATTACCCTGCATAATGGAGTTATTTTATGTAATTTTACATTTTACTGTCTTTATTTTAAAAAATATTCTTCATACTCATCTGAGAGCAGGCTCAAATCTAACAAAAAACTTTATAATGTCCCCAAGTAAGCTTCACATTTTACAAACACTACTATACAGAAAGAAACAGTTTTTATTTCATTCTTTGCTTGAGGACTGAAAGCTTTCCCCCAAATTAGGGGCTTCCCTGGGTCCAATGTTAGGTGAATTTGGGATGATGTGAAAACACTCAACAGTTCAAACTTTCTTCCCCTTCTCTTAGTCGTGGACACTTAGGGCATCACTGTGCTAGTGAACTCAGCTTTTCACATTCCAGGCAGTTTTCAGTGTTCTGGAAGTAGCGTGTTCTTTTTCAAAATTAAAGTTCACCAATGAAGATCAGTTTCTCCTAGGTGTTACAAATCAAGCAATGAGAAGGTAATCGACCTTATGCTCATTTCTGTTTACTTTAATATTCTCAAGAATAAGTATTTGTATTGAAGGAGGGATGTCAAATGAGATGATAAATCATCACACTGTGTTTTACATAGGAGTGGTGATCTTCTTGTGTGTATATATATTTTTTATGTTACGACTGAGGATAAAGTAGGAATTTATTGTCTTAATATCTCTCATACTATACTATACCAACTAATGCATAAAAACCAAACTGTCCCATGACGTTTATCTTTTCAAAGTTAATTATTTAAAAATGATCTATATCTTATAATATTTAGTTTCACTATGAAATATCAAAATTTACATTAATAGCTCTTGGTTGATAAAGATGGATATAAAGCAATTTTTACATAGGAATTTATGGATATTTCTTACAAAGGCACTGAAAAATTTAAAAAAAAACAAAATTATATACTCTTTTGCCAATCAATCATAACTTCAAGTGAATGCTTAGCAACATTAGTTCTTAAGGTTAAAATATGTGTCTTTCTGTTGTATATTGCTCAAAATTTCACTCTATATTATTGTGCAATTGAAATGCTTAATTATTTCTCCTTTTCATCATCAAATATTATAAAATTTTCTGCATAAATGATGGATATCCTAAACCTAAAAAGTATTTTCTTTTATTGCTTATAGCTGAAAATAAAAGGCAATTCTAAGATTGAGAATTACCAAGGATTCTCTCAGATTTTGAAGGTCTTGACATTCTTTCTGGAGAGAGAGATTTATACATTAACAAGATTGGTGTTTTCTTTTATTTTGCAGACTTACAACTTGATGAATTAACAAAAGGGTCCTTAGAGATCCAGGTTCAATGAAGTCATTATGGAATCTATTGTGTCATAGTGCTGGCAAAAAGCCTAAAACATGCAACTCTGAGGAGTATCCTCAGAAGAAAGAAGTAGACACAGCTTAGAGATTGGAGCACAAGGAGCAAGAGTGAGATGATGCACTACTCTAAATATTTATTATATCATTCAAATTACTATGAAGATCAAAGAGCCCTAATTTTCTTTTGGTGGTGGTGCTCGGTTGTGTGCAACTCTTTGTGACCCCATGGACTTGTAGCCTGCCAGGCTCCTCAATCTTTGTGATTTTCCCTGCAAGAATATTTTGGTGGGTTGCCATTTACTATTCCAGGGGATTTTTCCAACCCAGGGATTGAAGTCTAGTTTTCTATGACTTTGGCATTGGCAGGCAGATTCTTTACCACTGTGCCAACTGGGAAACTCAATTTTCTATTGAATTTACCTTTTGTATGAATAATAAAATTATTTTGAAAAGTTAATCAGTTAAAATGCACATAGTATCATAATCTGGAGATAACTAACGTAAACACTTTGGAAAAGATCTTCTCAGATTATAAATCAGCAATTTTATCTCAATATATTATATGTAATATTTAAAAGTATATGAACAACAATCATCACCTGTATAATTTGCTGAAACAATTGTAAATATAAATGTAAATCAGTTTTAAAGATCTATTTAACACTTCAGCTTTAATTAAATTTAATATATAATATTTTGTCACTATAATATCAACCCAAAATTTATAAGCACATTGTATAAATTTATAACTTTGTATTTTCACATTATCAGAATGAATATATGTATATAAGCAGGGTGAGACTCAGTGAAAGTTGCTCAGTCGTGTCCAACTCTTTGTGATCCCATGGATTATACAGTCCATGGAATTCTCCAGGCCAGAATACTGGAGTGGGTAGCCTTTCCCTTCTTCAGGGGATCTTCCCAACCCAGGGATTGAACCCAGATCTCCAGCATTGCAGGCAGGTTCTTTACCAGCTGAGCCACAAGGGAAACCCATATAACTATATATTTTATACAACAAATTTATATATTAATTTTTAAAAATTCCTTTTTTGTAATTTTTGGAGAGTATTATTTTAGTAAAAATATTTTTGTACTCTAGCTAAATATTCCAGAAGAGAAATTTCTTCTTCAGAAATACACACAAGCTAAAGGGTTAGCTCTGAGAAATGAAATACAATACCTGAAACGAGAAATTTACTGGATAACAGTAATAGAATTGTAGAGGATGAAGAATTAAAAAAAAAAAAACTTAGCTGTAACAATAAAAGTTAAGTAAACTGAAGCAGAGAGGAAAAGTGAATATTGTGACCATAAATGCTGCAAGCATGTCAAGTGTTAGGCAAAAAGGGTTTTTCTTTCATTGAGAGGAATAAAGAAGAATAGAAAGAACAGGATGTGAGGGAGTGGGATAAAAGGTGGGGAAAATGGAAAGAAAGGGTGATTTGGGAAGAGGCCGAGGACTGATTTTCCAAGGTAGTGGCATTATGTTGAGATATGAAAGATGAACAGGATTTATCTAAAGGACAGTGCAAAGACTGAAGAAAATATTTCAAGAATAAACAAGGATCTATAAATAAAATACTACAGAGACAAATGTATTATATATGCTCAGACACAGAAGACTAGGGAGAGATACATGAAAGGTAATGAAGAACTTAATATCTAAGAGTATTAATTTTCCTTGAGAACTCATATGAAGGTTCATCTTTTTTATTCTTTTTCACTGTACATTACTGACCTCTGATCAATAAATAATGAGTTTTCCATCAACTTTTTCAGTTGAGTTTTATTGAAATTTGGTCTTTGTGCAAGACCTACCTTTATAACTGGTGTTTCAGTATATATTTCAGTACTTAATCTGCCTTTTCCTAAAATTTTTTTTTTAATTTCCATTTTTATTATAAATTTCCATTCAAGAAGCTACCTTCAGTTCTGGAATGTTAGTCTTCCTCTTTGATAACAAAGTACATTTATTTTTTACATGGACTACAATTCTTTTATTTTTAGCAAACATTTAAAAAAATTTTTTATTGAAGTACAATTGGTTTGCAAAGTTGTGTTAGTTGCAAGTGTACAGCAAAGTGCTTCAATTATACATACATATATATATATATATATTGTTTTTCATATTCTTTTCCATTATAGCTTGTTACAGAATACTGGATATAGTTCCCTATGCTTATATTAGGACCTTGCTGTTTATTTTATTATTATCCTATGGAAAAACCCAAAGAACCAATTTGGCTAACCCAATATACATAGTAGTTTGTATATGCAAATCATTTTTCATTGAGGTATAATTGAGTTAAAACCTTGCACTAGTTTCAGGTGTATAACATGATTTGACATTTGTATATAATGTGAAATGATCACCACAGTAAGTGTAATTAATATCTGTCACCATATATAATAATATAATTTTTTTTGTAATGAGAATTCTCAAAATTTTAGAAAGTCTTTTTATACTAATATTTGAATAATGGTCCTGATAGTTATGCGGATGACAACATCTCTCTCTCTTGTTCTCTATCATTATCATCATCTCTCATGTACTTGTATAGTTGAACTGTTTGTTGAATAGGTGACACTGGTCTGAAAGTATAATTCTGCTTGTTTTTCTGGACAATCTCTTTAATGAGAGATGGTACCTTGCACATGTGTTTTGCAACAGGGGGGGAAATGAACTAGTTATGATCTGTTAAGGCTGCAGGGCAAAAATGCTTTTAGGCACTTAGTGTGACTGCTGTGATGACCACAAAGATAGAGAATCATTTAGAAACTTAAGACCCATTAATCTAGTGTTTCCAGAACTATTTATGGTAAAGTACCAGCATTTATCTTCAATGTGATTCATACTCAAATTTTTGTAAAAACAGTAAAAATATAAAATGGCATAACATACTGGTTCAAAATTTTTATTGTTAGATTCACTAATAATTTTGTCAGTTTGCTTTTAAAGTATATAAAGTTTACTTTCTATTTTTGTATTTATTGTGCATCAGAATAGTTTGTTGATCAGCTCTCATCCTGTAAAGGGGTTTAGCATTGCGGCAATAGAAGTGGTGAGCACTGACACACCTTTATTAATGTGCACTTCTTTTGCTGAAGGTTTAATGTAAATAAAAGTGCAGCTGCCATAGGTGATGGATACAACAATCATGTGGGAAAAATAAGTGAAAAAAGTGTTTTTCCTTTGCTGGGCAGAGGGAAATTTTAGGATTGTATTTATGATGTGTATGTAGGAAAGAACTACACACACAAGG